TCAAACTAAAGTAGATTAACCTGAAATATAGGCCGTACACGTCAAACTAAAGTAGATTAACCTGAAATATAGGCCGTACACGTCAAACTAAAGTAGATTAACCTGAAATATAGGCCGTACACGTCAAACTAAAGTAGATTAACCTGAAATATAGGCCGTACACGTCAAACTAAAGTAGATTAACCTGAAATATAGGCCATACATGTCAAACTAAAATAGATTAACTGATTAAAATTTGTTTTGCTCATATTTGTGCGTAAAATTCAAACTAGAGGAGCTACGAAGTCGCAAAGTTGTAATGTGGCATAACGTTAACGTTCTCTGTCTGTCCAGTTTGCAGTACGTACAAACAGTATGTATTACAAAGGAATTGAGTTTTTGTCACAAATTCCAATTTTATTGTACCAAAATCTCAACAACAAAATGATGCATACCTTTCATATTTCAAACTTACATTGTTTGATCCACCAGAATTCATAGTTTGAAATATCTACGGTCTGCGATATTTGGTTTTAAAGAAATTGGGATTTAAAAATCCGAGTTTGTGGCAAAGACTCAATTCCTTTACAACCTCTTTCAAATCCTCTGTTTTAGTCAATTTCGATTTGGTTTCTCCATTTCTTTGGATTTTTCAAAATTTTAGGTTCTCCGTGGATTTTAATGGGTCTACGTTCTTAGGTTTAAGTCGTTTTTAACAATTTTATTATACATATATAAGCAACAGATAAAAGACTAATTATTTGCGATTATGTCAAATTCAATTCGATATCAACCTATACCCTCTTTCATTCTTCGCGAACACTTTCTTTAATTCTCCAATCTTTATTTTTAGAATATCCTTGTAAAAGTTAAACCAAAGTTTCAAAGTTACTTATTTCTAACTAATTAAAAAATAAGATTATACATTTAGTTTATAAGATCAATAGATACAATAGCAGCTTCACATATTTAAATATTTTAATATTTTATAAAATACAAGCTAAAGAGCCCGGCGTTGCCCGGTAAAGATCTTTTAATATTTTTTAAATTTGAAAAAGATCGATTTTCAGCCAAATCGTTCCAGCCGTTTAGCCGGCTAGAGAGTAGAGGGAACATATATATGAATGTCTTATTATATAGAGATGTGTTAATATTACCCCTGGCATTATTACACGCTCCACATCCTTGAAAATATCCTCAAAACTCTCTCCTTCCTAAATATTATTCAGTTTAAACAACATCTTCATTTATAGAAATAACAAAAGTTTTTAATCGCCAAACAAACACGTAAATACATTTTTTAGTTTGGTCAAGTTTTAATAAATTTTAATTTTTGCTACAGGATTGGGTATTGTTTTTAATAATGACTTTTCAAACCGAAAAGAATAATGCTTAAATTGTAAAACCTGTTTTTATTTTTTCTCTTACTCTTTTTTTTGTTACCCCATACCATACCCTACCCTACCTACCCTATCATATAACTTTTATTTTCAAACTCTGGTATTGGCGGTAGTGAGATTTCATATACTTTTATTTTATAAAACTGGGGCATTTTATACCTACAGACCCTTCCCTTCCCTACCCTACCCTACCCTATCCTACCCTACTCTACCCTACCCTGACCTGCGGGGGATGATCAGGAACTAGTTCTCTCAAATATCCAGGTTTTACATCAGGGAATACCCTTCGATCCCTGATATTCTCCAGATAGTCAGCAATATAGTCAACCATCTCCTTTCCTAAACATGATAGTCATCAATATAGTCAACAATCTTCTTTCCTAAACATGATAGTCATCAATATAGTCAACCATCTTCTTTCCTAAACATGATAGTCAGCAATATAGTCAACTATCTCCTTTCCTAAGCATGATAGTCAGCAATATAGTCAACCATCTCCTTTCCTAAACATGATACAATATAGTCAACCATCTTCTTTCCTAAACATGATAGTCAGCAATATAGTCAACCATCTTCTTTCCTAAACATGATAGTCAACAATATAGTCAACCATCTTCTTTCCTAATCATGATAGTCATCAATATAGTCAACCATCTCCTTTCCTAAGCATGATAGTCAGCAATATAGTCAACCATCTTCTTTCATAATCATGATAGTCATCAATATAGTCAACCATCTTCTTTCCTAATCATGATAGTCAGCAATATAGTCAACCATCTCCTTTCCTAAACATGATAGTCGGCAATATAGTCAATCATCTCCTTTCCTAAAAAGGATAGTCAGCAATATAGTCAATCATCTCCTTTCCTAAAAAGGATAGTCAGCAATATAGTCAATCATCTCCTTTCCTAAGCATGTAAAAAACAGTAAAAAAACATACTGTATAACAGTGTACAATTTTCTGATATTTGAAAGAAAATAAATACAACCTCTCACTCTGTACTCGGCAGCGTCCATTATAAACTCTAGTTTTTTCCTTTTCGAGTTTTTGCCTTTCCAAGAGTTTCAGCCCAAGCAACCTTAACCTAAAGAAAATTCGCGTTTCTCTTTAATGTAAAATAAAGATAACTGTGTTGTTAAAAGGTAGTTTTTATCACCTTTTGATCAACATTACCGACCTTTGATTCCCAAATGATTCCCTTTTGTGAAAATTAAGTAAAAAAAATAATCACTCTATAAAGCTTTTCATAAAAATTTCGCGCACTTTCATCTGAAAAAGCGATTAACCGCTGATTCTCTCGACTAATTTCGCCTACAAAACATCCCTTTTGCTCTGATTGTAGTGTAGACAAAATTGGTCTTGGGAACCCTTGGTAAAGTAAAATAATCTTAACTTCCCTACAAATTGTTGTAAATAATAAATCTTAAAATAAAAACATTTAAGTTTAAAGCATCCTTCGACTTTCTAAATGAATTTAAACCTTTTATATATTACTTAAAATATGACCCTTTAGCAAGCAAGTTGCATGATATAAATTATAACAATTTATATTTTCGCAGGTTTTTTTATTCTAATATTCTAGTTTTGGGAGCAACATCATATAATTCTGGCCGAACAGAACATTTTTCTCTGAGGTCATTAAAGGATCTAATCGGTTTAGCCGTATTGACGTTATTGGGAAGAAACCAACCAACAAACCAAATATTAAATGAATCTATCTACTATCTATATATCTTGTTTAGACCTAAACATGACCTCAGGGAAGGTATATTGACCGTCAGCATTTAAATATTTTAACCGAAAAAATTGTTGACATTTGTTATTTTTGAAAATTCACCAATTTTACCAGAAAAACCCTCGAAAGAAGGCAACGTTCAGAGCATCAGAGAAGAGGTAAAATTAATAAAAGGAAAAGGCGTGAAGCGCCCTAAAGCTTAGTACAAAAACATATTTAGCTTGACTTCGAATATATTCTGTTAATTTGACAGTCTGTCTATTCCTTAAACGTCAAGACGGATGAACCAATCGGTAATTCCGGAATAAGCTTTGTTCAAAAGCTAAGATTACAGCGAGATCCTTCAATCTGTAGAATATTTAGAAGACTATTGAGCGCAAGTTATGATTTTCATCGGTGTTCAATAAACATGAAACACTATTGTGCAGAGTTCAAAATCCTTTTTAATCAATAATAAAAATAGTATTTAATAAGTAGTAATTAACCGCCCATTATCTATTAGATTAAGCATATTTTTATAAAGCTGTAAAATTAAGAAAACACATCTAAAACGATGGAGAAAAAAGAAAAAAACATCTAAAATGGTGGGAAAGGAAAAAAAAAACATTTGAAATGGTGGGAAAAGAGAAAAAACATCGGAAAAGGTGGGAAAAGGGGAAAAACATCTGAATTGGTGGGAAAAGGGGAAAAAACATCGGAAATAATGGGAAAAGAGAAAAACATCTGAAATGGTGGGAAAAGAAAAAAAAACTGTCCAAACCTGGTTGATCTGTTCTCGCAAAAGATTGGAAATATGGAATTTTAATTTTGAAAGAAAATTCAAAGGATTACCATGTATCAGAGGGATAATACACCCCTCCCTCCCTTGTACCCTTGCACCCTGCCTCCCCTTGTACCCTCCCTTCCTTTGCCCCCCACCCCTCCTTATAATAGTAGATTATCTACCTACCCTCCAGTCTCCAGAAGTTTCTAAGGATGACTGAGGTCGAACCATTGAGAGTCAATCCGGATCCTCCCACATTCTCCTTTCCTCCCTCCTCACCTCCCTTCCCCTCTCCTCCTTCCTCACCTTCTCCCTTCCCCCTCCTACTTAGCCCTCTTCTCCCTTCCCCAACTCCTTTCCTCCCTTCCCGTCTCCTTTCTTCCCAATCCCAATTCTTCCTTTCCAATCTTCTACTCCGCTATTCAATCTCCTACTCAGCTATCCAATCTCCTACTCAGCTATCTAATCTCCTACTCAGCTATCCAATCTCCTACTCAGCTATTTAATCTCCTACTCAGCTATTTAATCTCCTACGCCGCTATCCAATCTTCTACTCAGCTATCCAATCTCCTACTCAGCTATCCAATCTTCTACTCATCTATCCAATCTCCTACTCAGTTATCCAATCTACTCAGCTATCCAATCTCCTACTCAGATATCCAATCTCCTACTTAGCTATCCAATCTCCTAATCAGCTATTTAAGTTTCTTTTCAGCCATCCAATCTCCTACTCCGCTATCCAATCTCCTATCCGCTATCCAATCTCCTACTCAGGTATCCAATCTCCTACTCTGCTATCCAATCTCCTACTCCGCCATCCAATCTCCTACTCAGGTATCCAATCTCCTACTCCACTATCCAATCTCCTACTCAGCTATCCAATCTCCTACTCAGCTATCCAATCTCCTATTTAGCTATTCAATCTCCTACTCAGCTATCCAATCTCCTACTCAGCTATCCAATCTCCTACTCAACTATCCAATCTCCTACTCAGCTATCCGATCTCCTAATCAGCTATCCAATCTCCTACTCAGCTATCCAATCTCCTACTCAGCTATCCAATCTCCTACTCAGCTATCCAATCTTCTACTCAGCTATTCAATCTCTTACTCAGCTATCCAATCTCCTACACAGCTCTCCAATCACCTACTCAGCTATTCAATCTCCTACTCAGCTATCCAATCTCCTACTCAGCTATCCAATCTCCTACTCAACTATCCAATCTCCTACTCAGCTATCCAATCTCCTACTCATCTATCCAATCTCCTACTCAGCTATCCAATGTCCTACTCATCTATCCAATCTCCTACTTAGCTATACGATCTCCTACTTATCTATCCAATATCCTACTCAACTATCCAATCTCCTACTCAGCTATCCAATCTCCTACTCATCTATCCAATCTCCTACTCAGCAATACAATCTCCTACTCAGCTATCCAATCTCCTACTCAGCTATACGATCTCCTACTCATCTATCCAATCTCCTACTCAACTATCCAATCTCCTACTCAGCTATCCAATCTCCTACTCATCTATCCAATCTCCTACTCAGCTACACGATCTCCTACTCAACTATCCAATCTCCTAGAAGAGTACTCTGTAAATATCTTCCAACTTCAAGATATTTGTTGAGTAAATGTATCAAGAAATAAATTATCAAATAACTTCTTCATTATTTTCCATCTTCAATCCTTATTGGTTTAACTCCCTCGGGTTGTTTATGGATTCCCTAAGTCCCTAGCTGTATTTATACTAGACTATTAGGACAATATTCAATAACAACATGCACTTGCAACTGTATATACAGCATATTATAAGTTACAGGTTTATGATTTTTTTGGATTTTTTTTGTTGTCAAGATTAAACAATACAAATATTCATTAATTTGCATTCTCAAGTTAGTCTAAAGTTCAAAAATGTAACAAACATTTTGAACCCAAGATAAGACTCAAATTAAATTGAAAAATTTAATGTGGGGGGGGGGTGCAATTTGTAATTTTTTAAGAATAAAAAAAAGTTTCATAAACATAATTTACACAACACAAAACATAGCTTTTAACCCGAAATAAATTTATAAAACCTCCCTTAGATAAATATATATATAGATATATATTTTAAGCCTGAACTCTTATCTTTTAGTTTGAGTAGGATTCAGTTTCTCTTTCTCACTCGACGGTACTAAAATTATGCAGATTAAAGGAAAAGTTGCTATTATAACTGGTTCTGGTCAGGGCCTAGGGAGAGCATTTGCTGTTAGACTTCTAGAACATGGAGCTAGTGTTTGTTTGTCTGATTACAACGTGGAGACTGGGTCTAATACCTTGAAGGAGCTATCAGCAAGGTTTGGAGAAGACAAAGTTTACTTTATTAAATGTGATGTGACGAAGGAGGAAGAGCTAAAGTCCTTGTATGACGGGTGTGAAACCCATTTTAAAAGCAAGGTTGATATCTTCTGTAATAATGCTGGTATAAACCATATCCCTGGCTGGAAGAAATGTATGGATATCGATATCATGGCTGTAATCTGTGGAACTGAGCTAGCTGTGGATAGGATGGATATAAGAAAGGGTGGTAAGGGTGGTCTAATTGTAAACACTGCCTCTCTTGCTGGTATTGGTATAGGTATGTCTAGAGAATCAGCTTCCTACTTTATTGCCAAGCATGGAGTAGTTTCTCTCACGAGAACCTACGGTCAGGCTAAAGTAGTTAAGGATACAGGTGTCAAGGTTCAATGCATTTGCCCAGCTTTTACAGATACAGGAATACTAACAGATCTAGAACCTGATCAGAAAAAACTGATAAATAAAAAATTTGGAATAATGACTCCGGAGTTTGTCGCTGATGCCTTCATTCATCTGATTAAAGATGGTGAGAGCGGTGCTGCTATCTGTATAATGAAAGATGCTCCTCCCTTCTACTATGAAGACTTCAGTAGAGAATGGGTGACTGTTCTTGTCGTGGTTGGAAAGATTTTACAAAAGCTGTTTGGGATCCAAGTTCTCACAGCTAGACATCAACTTGGGTTTGCACTGTTTACCTTTCTTGTTCTACAGATTCTCATCTATCTCTTCCTGTTGTAGATTTAATATTAGTTTTTGTAGATTCTGTAGATGTCATTTTATATATTTTTAACATATTATTCATTTAAATGTGGTGTCTGATCGATATTGGTTTGAAGGCCTAATTATATTAATGTTTCACTTTAAATATTAGAAATTATAAACAAATCATTTCAAATAATAAACCTTAATTGTTAATAGCTGTTTGTTAATAAAACTGCAGACGTAATTTTAAGTGATATATATATATATATATATGTGTGTGTGTGTGTTTTTAGACTAAAATCGTTTTAACAACAAATACCTTTAGATTTTACAATATACAACCAAATGATTGATAACCAGAGCTACAGCCTAAACATTTCAGGGTGTTTTATTCAGTTCAGGTGACTTCATATTTAAGGAAACCATGTCTACATGTAATCAAAAATGAATAAGATATCCATATTATTTTCTTAAAAGATTGATTCTTCTAAAATGTGATTGGTCTGTTAAAGTGAGTTTCAAATTTCTGTTCCTGAAATAAAACATTTGTCAGGCTAGCTAGAACCATAACGACATTTTCCAAATTGGTCAGGGTACTTACTGTTGTCAATGAAATGAATTAAATAAACTAGAATGTTGATTTTCTCTCCTCTCTCTATGAATATGGTTCTCCCTCCAGTCTATTTTTCCAATGTAAACTTTACGGCTTCTTATTAGCATTTTTATTTTTATAACTTCCCGTAATCTGAATATATGTATATAGTAATCTCCCACCACCCTTCGCCTTCATCCCCCCTTCTCACTCCCCTTCCCCTCTTTCTTACCCTCCCCTCCTACCTCACCAGTCACCTCCCCCTTCTCACGTTCTTCCCCTCCTTCTCTTTCCTCCTCCTACCTCCCCCTTCTTTTTGGATCTTCTGATAAAATCAGTGGGAAACATATTCTTCAAAATAATTCTACTGAAAATATTTAATTTTTTGTTGAAAAAAGACCAAAAATTGCAATTTTAATTATTCGATTATTATCTGATATTTTGTCGTTGTAAAATGAGTGCCTCATGTTCCTTGTTATATCTGTTAGTTCTGGTACTAATCAAAGCTTGCCGCAAACTCGTATCTTTACATGCAAAATTTTCAGCAAAAAAACGATTTTTCAATTTCGCTGTGAACCCTTACAAACAAAAAATAAAATTCATATTTCTAATATTAAACAAAATATGGACAACCCTGTTTCTAATATTAAACAAAATATGGACAACCCTGTTTCTAATATTAAACAAAATATGGACAACCCTGTTTCTAATATTAAACAAAATAATGCAGGTTTGAAATAAGAATTTGAAAGTATTCAGCTTTCACCTTGTTTTATATCCTTCATTATAGTCATTCATTTTACATTAACTACAAAGATCTGTAAACAACTGAATTTATTTTAAATAACATAAAAAATAGTTTTACTTTAAGAGGAAAAAGATGTTACTTTTTTAAATCTTTATAAAAGCTACTCTGCAAACTTAGAAAAAATATTGTGTTTGTTTATATTCTAATTTCCAGAGGAACAGCTAGCACTTTTGTTAGGGGAAGGGGCAAAATATCTGGGATGTAGGGGGGCAGGGGCTTGCCACCCCTTTGGAAAAAAATTACAAAATAAAAGTTTTTTTTTTTAAGGGTTTGACGACGAAAAAAAGAAATTTTTCAGTTGTTGCATGCAGATTTGGCTGTGTTCAATTCAAATCGTTTTTTTCTTGTGTTTAAAAAAAATTTATACTTTCAACAACTGTAAAATTAACAACATAATCATTTATATATTTTGAAAAAAAACATCAAATTACATATATAATTTTAATCATCTACATTGAAAAAGGACAAATAATGTTACGTTTTCTCCTGAAGTTATTGAATTTATGATTTATAATTCTAACCAACATTCATAATCTTATTTCATTTTCGATTTTATAGAAGTTCGTTTAAAGAAGATAAAAAGGTTATCAAATATAATAATCAGTTAGAAGTTTGCCGGGCTCAGTCTCAGAATATTCTCTAGATTTGGAACTGAGTTTTTGCCACAAACTCAAATATTAATCCCTAAATCTTTGCACCGAGTGGTGTAAACCTTTGATATTTAAAACTTAGATTATTTTACCAAAATAATTTTAAATGTTTACG